AGGAGGAGGAGGAGGAGGAGGGATTTTCCCAAGAGGGTTATAAACACTGCTCTAATTCAATTAAAATGCTACAGACACTGATATTAACGCATCCAAGTGTTGTGGGGGATAAGCTGCCAGTGGAGGTCAATGATGTGACTAAAAACCCCGTGATGTGGTTACATTATTGTTTCGATGGTGAAAAAAAAAATTTTGCTCTCAAATTTGCAGACGCAACCTATCAAACCAGCAACCCGAACACAAGGGAGGGGTTGCAATTTCTGAGGCTCACTGTAATACCTACAGAGTGTGTGTGTGTGTGTGTGTGTGTGTGTGTGTGTGTGCAGCTCATGGCTCTGAAAAGAGAAGATGAAGCTGACAATAGCTGTAGGTAAGGGTTGAAATGTAAATTTTACTAACCGCAATAGAAAGGATTTGGGGGTGGGGTGGGGGTGGAGTCTGGTCCGACAAGAACAACTAGCAAATCCAAATGGATTTACATTCCCTCTCCTCATTCCTGCCCCAACCCGCGAAGGGCCAATGAAGGGCACTCGTCTAATTCTGCTTATTGTTAAACTGAATGCTTAGAAGCCTGTGAAACACGCTTCCCCATGTGGTGCTCTACAGGAGGAGGGCATCTCCACCCCAGGCTACCTACCCAGTACAGAAAAGACAAAAAGCAGCATTTTTGTTAACAAAAAGTCACTTTCAAAATTATTCGATAAAGCACTTCTGTAGATCATAGGCATCCTCCTAGTACATTTAAATGCTGTGTTCTCTTTTTTTCTTTCCAGTACTGGGTATTGAACTCATGGCCTGCTCACTGAGCTACATCCCCAGCCCTTTTTATATTTGTTATTTTAAGACACAGTTGCACGACGTCACACTAAATTGCCTGAGCTGGGCTCAAATTTGTAATCCTCCTGCCTCAGCCTCCCACAGGTCTGGGATTACAGCCATATGCAACCTGGTTAAGCACTTGTTCTTATACCATTAACTCTTGGAAGAGACTGGAGGTTTAGGAAATTTAGGGTTAATCAAATAGTAAGTTTCTGGAAATAAAGACAAAGCATTTCAGGAACTGGGAAACCAAATTTTGAGAACTTGTACAAAGATGGTTTTACAGGTAACTTAGTAAAGATGAGATGCTCTTGATTTAGAAACTTGTTCTAGAAACTGCCCCATCCCCATTATAAATGCCAGCATTCTCCACAATGGTATCTGAAGCCTGTGTTGACAGTCCTGGGGAGGAAGAGGGCCTCAGGACCAGAATAGTGACTGCCTCCTTCCTGGAGCGATGGGAAAATGGCACAACCATCTTCTATCCACTCAGGCTTCGGTGCCTGTAACTGCACTGAAAACCTGAACCCAGGCAAGATGGGAAAAGGCAGGCACCGAAGGCAGGGTGGTCACCCTGGGCATGTCCAGTGTCCGAGGAATGGATCTCTTCTACCCCGCAGTTTTAGAAAAGCTGATATCATACTATAGCCAATCTCAGTAGGCAGACAGCTACAGAGATGAAATCTCCCCCGTGTACAGAGACCTGTACCCTGTATATCTCTACTTACTGAGATGTATGAACTAATGTCTGAATACACAATTATTCTGTATATTTTTCTGGCTGAAAAATGATTCAAGATAGTGGTATTGGCTTTTATTAAATAAGCTTTTATTAACAAGTTACATCTTCATACTACCAAAAAACTGAATAAGCAGAAATTTGTCC